GGGGGACATCTGTAATACTTTAAATAATAAAGATAATTTTTTTTTATAAAAGACAGAAGAAATAAAAGCATTTCTGTAGGCTGATAAAGATAGAGAGAGGGGAGACCTACCACAGACATTTCTTTAAGAGGAGATCCAAGAGATCTAGTACCAAAGTGGAATGACATCTCACACTATTTTTTTTCCACACATAATTCTAGGCTTTATCAATATAATACAACAAAATTTATATAAACCAAAAGGAAATGAAAAATGGCAATCTGGAGGCAAACAAACATATATTTAGCCTCCTACCTAGTGTCTGAAAAACAAACATACAAAAGATATACACAGAAAAAGAAATACAGAGGCCCAAGCATTAAAATGTGTTCATCCTCATTCAATTATATAAAAATTGAAACAGTACCAACATACCATTTTTCACATACTACGATGGCAAAGATTAAAACCTATTAACACCCAGTATAGAAAAGAGAAACTCTTTCATAAGGTATTACCTGGAAAGGTAAACTGGTACAACCTTTCGGGGGACAATTTGACAATATCTATCCAAACTGTAAATGCACAGAAACTGACTCAGCAATTTCACATCTAGGCATTTTGCGCTATATTGGCACAAGTTCACATCTGTAATAAACTAAAATTTACTTAAATGTCCATTAACAGGGGCCAGCTAATTATGGTATTCAAATTAAGCAGCCATTAAATAGAATAAGTTCATTAAGTGGGGATATGGAAGTACTGACTATACCCAACAGAATATATACTGTTAATTGACAAAAGAAAAATGCAGAGCAGTGTATAAGAGAGAAACAAAAAGTACAATTACTTAGACCTGTGCAGTCCAATATGGTAGTCACGAGTCACATATAACTACTGAGCACTTGAAATATGGCTAACGCAACTGAAGAACTAAAAGATAGACGGTGTCATTTTATTAGGTCAAAAATCTGGATCTAATGGAATTCTAAAATGAGACCGCAGTTTCCCTTGTCACTTCATTGCACTGTATGACACACATTGAAAATACCTGTGCTCCCAAATGTGATGAACAGTATTTGTGTCAGTTCTGTGAACATGAAACAAATGATCCAGAAGACTTGACTAGCCATGTGGTAAATGAACATGCATGTAAATTAACAGTTAAGTGAGACACGTAACAATGGGCAACATGGACAGTATAGCCTCTTGAGTAAAATTACCTTTGGTAAAACTTTGTATGTCAAGCATGTGGTTTGCCTAGTAGACTTCATAAAAATGTTAACAAGCAAGTTGCTATTGAACACACTAAAAAATCTTCCTCATGTTTGTGATGAGTGTGGGAAAGGCTTTTCAAGTATGCTCGAGTATTGCAAACATTTAAATTCACATTTATCTGAAGGGATTTATTTATGTAAAAACTGTGAATATTCAAGAGGACAAATTGAAGATCTTAAAATTCATCCAGACTTCAAGCTTTTGGCTGACTTACCTCATAAGTGTAATGACTGCTTGATGAGGTTTATAAATGAAGAAATTATTAAGTCACCTTCCGGTCCATGAGACATTTGTATCACTCTCTTTAACTTCCATAACATTAATGTAAAATGACTTTTTTGGAGATGTTAAAAACAGAAAGAAAATATCTATGCTCCGTTTTCTGCAGCAGAGAAAAAGTGGACATATTCAGTTAATTCAAAACCACCCTCAGACCGTGAAAAGTAACTAGCTGGTCGAAAAGGTGATGATTTATCAGTCCCCCAAAATGCACCTCCTCGAAAGCCACGATTCCACAGCAGACCTTTAAAGACAAGGACCTAACCAGGCTGATGGAGACCAGCCCTCGTGGAGGACAGGAAGCAACACCGCTGTACACTCTCCCGGAGCTGAGTCCCTAAGGTTAACAGCAGCTTAGAGTACCTCCAACACCTCCGCGGGGACAAACGGCGGCTCCCCACGAAACCCCGTTAACCTGTAACAGGTATTGGCCACCACCCGACGACGCCTTGCGCCCCCCGTACGGAAGCGAGTCCTCCCGCGCGCTGCGCGCCCTCTCAGGTGCAGAGAGTCGAAACCCCCCCTGCCCCCTC